GTTTGAAGAAGATGCTGATTAATGTCTGGTTCACGAGCATTAAATTCTCACAATGTAATATCAATCAAACATTAAAACAGGCTTTAATGTTTCAACTCAAAGTTTGCATGTAATAATAATCACGCTTTTCAGGGTTAAAAAGTATAGAAATGCCGTATAATTCCCAACAAAATTTAGAATTAGGATAATATGATTGTAAATGATCTGATCTTGGCGTCCTGAAGTCTCAAGACCAACTTATTTATTCTTTAAGCTCTACGAGTTTGATCAAACATGTAAATATACAGAACGTGACCTTAGAGGTACTCCATTGATTTAGGAGTCTGTCCCGTAAAAAACCTTTTATTTACGACAGTGAAATTAATTGAGAGCGAAATGTGTATCATATCAGATTCTGATTGGAAAAACTGGGAGCTTAGTCTATATGCAAATCTATGCATGTGTCTGTTTTGCTCTGACATTAATTTCGGTGTCTGGTGACTCAATCAATTATTTACGAATTTTTTTAGACCTTTACCCAGCATCAATAAAAACAATGTGTTAATTTGAGGATCTTTGTCAGCTCCCAAAACAGGTTCATGGCTCATGCACCTATAAGCACGTGCCCCGGTATCTCGAGAATCAACTTATCATGAAGCTTTCATCATCAATCAGAGTGTATAATGCGTATTTGTTTCAGCCGAGGTGCAACATATTTGCTCAGTGTCAGAGGGCACATGAAGAGTAAAGTTCACTACCATTAGACCGCTGGGGCCACAAGCTCTATGTTAAAGATGCCTAAGCGCGTGCTCTGTCTCGCAGGAGTAACTGGATCAAAACAGCGACCGTTCAGGACCTACGAGGACAGCTATAGATAGCTGCATGGTGACCTAGTCCCGTATCATCGCCCACGCCCATCTTGTATAGCCTACTTTTCAAATAATCTTGTTTTTTCTGTGTATCATTCGATGTATATCTTTTGAGTTTTGTGTTGCTTGATTTTAGGCTAACGAACAATTTTCTTGAATCTAGAGCGTTCAACTTGATATCCTATAGAGATGTAGCTAAATCTGATTCAAGCATTCCACCATGTCACAAGCAAGACACCAAACAATAAATAGGGTAAATACTTTCCGTAAAATTTATATTGATCCCTCCCATTCACTATTCTTGCGTACATTGTTTATTAATATTATTTATCCGTAATTATAATTATATATTCATAATGTATAATTGTAGCATTTTAAGAAACAAATTATTTTGAATTAGTATTATTTTATTTGATAAGTCCTCATTGAAAACACTTTCATCGTCCCAAAAAAACAAAAGTCACTCGGCAAACTGGCTTTGTCTCTGTCCTGTCTTTAAACACGCAGCCATGACTGCACATAAAGCACGTCATTAAGACGAGCACAAGCTTACGCTTGAATTAGCATGTACAAAGAGCGTGGCTTTCTAAGTGCGCACAAACAGAGAGGCTAAGAGTGCACGTGAATTCTAACTAGCAAAGGGTAAGTGAAGGCCGTGGGCGTTGAGATCTGCCATCAAGATCACATTAGTCTACATGACGTGGTCAGCGGTAGTAAAGGTCACTCATAATACGCCTTAGTTTTCAACGCGACTTGGGTTCAGTCTTTCAGTAATTACTGCAGGTAGCTGCCCGTTGATGGCCGCAGCAAATTAATGTAAGTGACTATGAGATATCGCGACGAGGCGAACCGCGCTGCGTCTGAAGCTGCTCATCTAATTTATATCGGAAGATCGCGGCGCTGAGGGTATATAGGAAAAATTGAAACATATTAGGTATTGTTTGCTGAAGTGTATGTCAAGACGACCTATTTTGGAGTATGTGAAAGAAAAAGCGGGTAGTAGCACTTGGATATACTAAGCCTTCTGGTTGAGCTTTGGAATACGTACAGTTTTGAGTCAATTTTCAGACGTTAATTAGTAGTGTTGCTATTTAATTTGGCTAATCGGACTGTTTTTTTCACACAACGCATGGGTGAGAGTGCAATTTTACAGTAGGTTTGATGACTAATTGTTTGATTTCATCAAAGAATAAAGTCGCAGCTAGAAGATATCTCGAAGCATAGTCGACACAGTTCTGTCGTTTTAATTTTATTGCTGAGAGAAAATGATTGATACCAAAAAGAAAACAATTCATAAATGGAACATATGCGTTTCAAACTCAGCAAAAACATATGAGAAGATTGTATTTTTTTAGATATTATTCTCCTTGTAAATTCACGAAACTCAATTTTATTTCAAATAATAAGAAACTTCGGAAAATGAAATTGATAAATTTTTGCTCAAGCAAATGTCGCCCTTAATATCACTCACACTTCTTGACAGATGTCTTTATTTAAAAACAACCATTAACTCGATTCAATTTACAGCCACACTGATGACGGTTCCATTCGGCATGAATACAATTCAGTAAAAAATTATGCATTTTGAGCTTAGGTCTTATGTATGCAAAAAACAAGTATATCAGAATAGCAAGAAATTATCAATGTCTTAAAATAGTGGAATTGAATAGTGATATATATGTAAAGGAGCGGACCCTCCGCAAATTTATTTTTCAGTGGCGGAGGATTTCAAAGAGTAATGTAGGTCGAAAGTAAGGCCGACGTTTGTTAAGAGATTAAGGTACTTAAATTCCTTCGGCCGGAATCATGGAATCTTTCGTATTGGAATCATTAAATTAAATTCAATAGAATAAACGGTAACTTGTTTCCTCATTGACCCAAATCTATTTTAAAAGTAACTTGGAATTTTTCTACGCTATAAATAATTTGCATTTGTGTGTACTAGTCAGTGGAAGAAATTCTGAAAATTATTTATTAAATCTGCTAATAACAGTGCTTCAAAATAAAACCTTATGCTACCAACCTGCCTGTGAGTTTACAGAGCAACCCTTGCCACGCTCGTCGCACGTCTGGCTGCTGGCTTTTCCTCGTCAGTGATAGCGACGGTCATCGTCGTCTGTCACAGCTTCGCCTTCCACTCAAACTCGATCGTCCCTTGAGTGAAATTACGAGATCGTGCCATGACCATTCAATTAAATCAGAGAAAAAATCTTACCTTTTTACTCACTGCAAGAATTCTGACACTTTATTCGCTGGTATGTGAAAGGTAGTTCATGGCTAACTTCCTAGAAATACAAAAAAAAAAGTTTAAATATAATTGAGCTGAGACCTACCTTTTTTGATATTAAAGATAAGTCGAAAATTTTCTTCTAAGGTCACCTGATTTGAGCATTTGCGATTTCTTTCTTTGGGGACATCTAAAAGAAAGGGTGTTCAGAAGTCGCCCTCACACCCTACCACAGCTAAGGGGACAGATTATTGCAGAGGTTATGGCCATACCTCGCCATATGTGTGAACGTGCTGTAGGAAACTTCCAAGAACGACTCCAACAGTGTGTTGCAGCTAACGGCCACAATCTTCCACATAATATTTTTCTCACATTAGTATTCCAAATGGTAGGTTATGCTAACCTCGAGGAAAATAAACTTTCTTCTTTATGTACCTCCGTTACTCTTTTGTTTCGCCTCAAAACTGCTCAATCAGTTCTGCCCCACCATGTATAATACCCTTAATATTTTAACTCGACAAACATTATGTTGAAGAGTATGCTGCACTAATATTGTATCTATACTAAAGAGTATACTGTACATAATGAGTCTTATCATTTTACTTCGTAAAGGTTCACCTTTACAGTTGCAAGCACTTAATAAGTCGTATTATTTTAAGTCGTAAAAGTCACATTAACTGTCGTTGTCACTTATCAAGTCGTATTATTTCAATTCGTAAAGTTTCACCTTTACAGTTGTAAGCACTTAATAATTCGTATTATTTTAATTTGTAAATAATCAAGATATATAAATATATCAATAATTTATCTCAAATTATGAATCCAACACAACCGAAACGACAAATTCGGTGTAAATTTTTTTCGATTGATCGTATATACATTCTTAGATTTTGAACAGAAGATGGAGCTATGAATTGTTTGAATTTTTCCAAACTTTTAAATTATTGGATAAATTACGGATATTTGCTACATGAATTTTTAGTGTTATTCCTTTCATTTAATCTCTTATTATTAATATTATAATCGCATTTTCCATCGATTTTCATTTCCATTGTTTTCTTTCTTCTTCATCGAGTGGAGCCTCCGTTCTCTGCAATACTTCATTAATTTCCGAACATAATCTTTTCCGGTCGAATTATGTACAAACTTACATAATATTGAATGAATGCATGTTGGAAAACTTATAAATTTTCGAAATATAAATTGTCAACCGTCCGCAATACGGAAATTTTTCTGCGCAGTATTTGTAAATAAGAAAGGTAATATATTTACTTGTATGTGAATCCCATTGTTTGTTTTAAATTGAACTCATAATTACATGTTTCGTCTCAAATAATAAAATATCAAGCAATATAAGTTTTTCCAGAGACTATTTATGGACATGTGTGAACTTTGACAATATTTCCAAGTATGTATACAGATTCAAGTATTAAAATTTGGAATAAATGAAATTAAAAGAAACTGGAACTTTCGGATATTAAAAAATTAAAGTTAGAACTAAAAGTTAAAAATAATCAATTGTTTTAAAATAAGTATTGATTGTTTAAAAATATATTGATCGTTTTGAATTATATTGATTGTTTTAAAAAATACTGGTAGTTTTTAAAAAATTTTATCGTTGTGATAAATATTGATTGTTTTAAAAACATTATTTATTTTAAAGAGTATTATCTATTTTAAGAAATATTGAGTGCTCTAAAAAATATTAATTATTTTTAAAAATATTGAAAGTTTAAAAGAAAATGAATGTATTAGCTTAAAATACCAACATTTTTGTATTCCTTCTTCATACATACAAGACCCACGAGGTCAGTGCGAGGCTCAGGTCAGTGTCGAAGCTTGGCTAAGGCGGGGTCACTCAATTCTATATAAACCGAGCCATGCATTGATCCCAGCAGTACTATCCAGTCATCTGCCGATCCTACACTTGGCCACTGAACTGGAACACACACACTGGTCGTGACAGTACTTTTTTGCCTCTTTTAATTTCACTCTGGGTGAACATGCTATTTCTTTACACTGAGGCATAATTTTGTCGTCGCAGTGTGTCCATCTAAAAAACACAGAATATCTTCTTTCTGTCTAAGTACAGAAAGAAATTGAACTTGGAAGTGGTTTTTTGTAGCATGTTTAGCACTTAATATTTGGTCTATTGTTTAGTTTAACTTCAATAGAATACTTATTTCTGAAAATGAATGCAGGAGTAATTAAGAGTTATTGCGTCGCGTTACGAACTTTATTTATAATTTTTATTTTAATCACACACTATCAGCTGGAACCATATATCAGGTCACGTCCATTTTTCGGACTTGATGAAGAAAGTTATGGTTATGACTACGAGGAAAGTTACGCTACCACCTCCTAATTTGATAACCAGTTATCAAATTCTACAAAACTTTAAAAATCACAAACGTTTTAATACCATTTGCTCTGAGTTTCATTTGTGACGTGTTTCTGAAATGAATTTGTCTTATAACTTTGACGTTCCTCAACAGAATCGATATTCTATTTTATTTTAACGAACGAAGACCACGGTAGTAGAATGGCACAGGTGAGTTGAATTAGGCTTGAAATCAAATTCATTGTTTATAAATTCTCAATTGTTCTAGAAAACCTATGTTATTGTACATTAGAATTATTCGGCCCTAAATACTAATCACACTCGTTAAACAATAACAAAATCTTCCATTAATTATTTGATGAGCATAACACCTACAACAATACATCATAATCTCACGCATTAACTGTCTATATTATGTTGAGTTACTGAAAATGAGACTTCATAACCGAGTTCAATTTATTTATTATATAATATTTCAATTCATCAATAATTTTGTTCCATCGCGATCACCGGAGTGCGTGATACGAGCAAAATAGCTCCAAAAAGGAAATCTGAAGATGCCATCTAAATTAACTATATTTCTGTCTTCTTCGGTAGTTCTTTAGTAATAAAATTATAAAAACAATGTGATTATCGGAATAACATTTTCATTAATTGCGCACGTTTGATGTGTTGCAGAAACTCTCAGGAAACTTGACCGCGGTGATGGCGATGTTGCTGCTGGTGGCGCTGCCGGCGCTCTGTCTTCCGACGTCGGTGCTGGACTACGCAGGAGATGGACACCGAGTGTCGCAGAGAGGCAATCCGGGCCACAGCGTCTCCGGCTCTTACAGGTAATACAAACTTTTCAGAAATTGTTAAAAAATTTTATTTGAATTCTTTGCCCACAGGCAGTAGCTCAATGTTTACTAGATTATTAGATACGAATAGTACTGAACACTATTGTTTCCTCAATTTAACAGGGCGTTCAAGACATGTTCAAGCGATTGTTTTGTTGACTGTTAACTTGAATTCGTGCAACCAACAGCATTGTACGGAAGTTGAGATAATCTAACGTACCTAACAATATATGGATGTTGAATTAATCGCTGACTTATCGGCCTGTCATGCATCAAAAGGACGTTATTTTGAAATAATGCCCTTTAGCACTTGAAATATCAACGTGGGCTTTTCTTGGTCTCGTGATATTTTTTCTATAGATACAAAAAAACTCGTTCACCTGTTTCTTAGTTCCCAATTTCATTAATAATTAGCATTAAATTGTTTATATTTGTCATATTTATTTTTATGATCACGAATACTAAAATATTCGATGCACGAATTTTTGAGTAATACTCCCAAAATGTTTAAAACCCCACCCTAAAACTATGACGTGATTATGAGAAATTAAAAAGTTATTATTATAACGAGTATAGCGTCATAAATATATATGTAAGTTCATATCAATTGTTTAATCAAATGAAATTTAAACATCGTTCAGTATTTATCCTATGGTGAAAATCGGTCTATTCCTGAGGTGACGACTTCAAATGATGTAAGGTATTCAAGATTAGTTTTTAAATATTATTCGGAAATAATATTTTAAAAGTTTTAGGTCCAATTCTTCAAAATATTGAGTCAGGCCAATAAAATAATCTATCAGAGCAGCATTTCTTTCCTCTCATTTCGTACGATTTTATCATACTAAGAGACATATTTCTAACCAAATAATGTTTCAAAATTATTGCTATCTGAAATAAGAAATCTCGTCAAAAAATATTCTCGTTAAAGTTTTGAACTGCTGAAATTAACACTATTGTATAATAACTCTTATTTTTGAGAGTTCAATTGTGGAACAATAAACTCATTCTGGATAAAAGTAAAAGGCTGCCCCTCAGTCGTGCGGAACTGTTAGGTCGCTGAACGACATTTACAAACGGAATTCCTACAATTTTTTAGTCTGTTCATCAGATGGAATTTCTTGTCTGTCTGCAATTTGTGATTCCTTTAAAATAATAAAATTTCTGCTCAAAAACCCTCATTACCTAGAATCCTAGATCACTGGAAAACTGTTAAGACCCATAGATCAACTGTGTAACAACTGTCGGAAATTCCTTTCTGTTCTTGTTGAGTGAGCATGCTTAGCAATTCGCTCAATTCACTTTTATTAGTTGTTAACATAGTGACCTGGGGTCTGAGTTGGATCAGTCGCAATTTCTGAGTTTACAACTCCAGCTCATGAGGCATAAACTTCAAACTCTCACGGAAACGATTTTCTTGTGACGATCATTGGGACGTTAAACACAAGCTCGAGGATAGCTCGGACGTAAAGTTGAGGTGGCGCAGATTTTATCGCAAGTTCCTTGCAAGTTGACTCGTTTGGCAGTCGAATTAAAATTCGTGGACTCGAATAAAAAAATACAATTTTAGATAGTTTATCTTGCGCAACCGAGGCTCACTAATCGTGATCAGTTCTGAAAGTCTTCACCAAGGCATTCGAACTCTGCATGAAAAGGAGCTTTCGAAATGATCACTCGGCAAGGCTATCAGGCGGAGCGGGACTGAATGGCACCAATTTCTCCGTTTCATATAATACGAAGACAGAAGATCACTTCCGAGACTTGAGAATGGAATACTGTTAACCTTTTTTTTCTCTCTATCTCATTTTTTGCCGTCTAGCGCAGTAAAACTAATTGCTTGTTTTCCTACTTAGTGCTGTTCGCCATTTTTTCGGAAAATTTGCGTACAAAAAAAAAGATATGTATTTTACTGCACACTTCGATAAAAATTCTCATGAACACAGCAATAAATATAATAAAAATTTAAATATATTAATTATTTCTACATAAAAATTATAAAAAAATGCAGTATTAAAGTAGAATATATAAAATAAGTAGTTAGTGCTAAAGCATTTATTAGTTGCCTTAACTTAATTATGCACCCATCAACTTATCCCGTCTTGTTTCAGTTGGACTTCTCCCGAAGGCACGGAATTTTTCGTGCGTTACGTGGCCGACGAATTCGGCTATCGGGTGGTCGAGTCGAACGCCTTGCAGCGGTCGGCCCACGGACAACTGGCGGACGGGAACCAAGTGCTCAGGACCGATGACTCTAAACGATCAGAGGTAGCAATGCCGAGAGAGCAAATTCCCGAAGCGAGCGTTATTCCAGCGTCAACAGAGAAGGCTTATGAGCCACAAATTCTTGAACAAGAAGCGCCTACGCTGTCACGTGTCGTGACATCTCGAGGCAGAGGTTTAGCCCGCGCATCGCCCCAGGAAACAAAAACTGAACTCTCTACAGTGCCCGAGGCGAAGTCTGATGACAATGAAGTCAGTTCTTCACTAAAAGAAATTTCCAGTCCAGTCGTCGCAGATGTTCCCATTGATGCGCAGGAAAAAAGTGCTGCTGAGGTAGAAGAAGTGGCTCAGGCACTGACTGAGATGTTGAAAATTAACGCAATCGAAATAACCACCCCTCAAGACCTCATCTCTCAAGCGGAAGAAGACTCTCAAGCTAATGCCATTGAACTTCCTTCAGATGATGGAGGCTTTCTGAAACCTGTGGAAGAATCATCAGATCCAGTTTCCACCGTGGATATCGCTTCAGCAGACGACACTCCTGCTGCCACGATTCCAGAGGAAGAACCTGAGCTCCAAAAGTCGGCATCAGCCGCTGACGAAGCTGGTGAAAGTATTTTGCCTCTCGGAACTGAGCCCACGCCTTCACAGACTGACGAACCTGCCCTCGACGCCACACGTGACGAAATTCAACTTTAGCATCTGACAATGAAATTTTTGTGCGAGTTTTGGAAATGAACTATTTATATAATTTATTAGAGCGAACGAGCGAACGAACGACCAATAGTAAAATAGGAAAGAGTTGAAAAGTGTAAGCAGTCATGTTTATTATCTTAAATAGCTGCTATGCTCTGCTTGAAAATTTTCAATTTATGTTCATCAAAATCGGGTCTATTACCGTCTTCGTAAAAAGAATGTCGTCATATTAACTTCCATATCATTTTTCTCCGCTGAATTTACAGTAAGTTGGATATTAAAATAAAAATAATTCAACTTTCAGCCTACTTGTTCCACAAAGTGAAAATTCTCTTATATAAAAAGAATTCTCTCGTATATACCTATTCTCTTACTCCGAATATGTGGCACAAAATTTGTAAAGATGTTTTAAAACGAAACGTAATACTGATTGATCTATGAAGGACAAAAATTGCTTGTTGCTTTCTTAGGAGTTTTTATTGCGCTGTTATCATGTTAGTTACCAACTCAACCACCAAATTCTGCTCGAAATAAATAGCTTAACAAATGCCTTTCCGGTATCATCATTTTCCTACGAAATCGAAAATCATCCGTAAGAAGCAATGTGTCATTTTTATTCCAATAATGAAGCAACTACATTTCCAAAGTGGTTGAAATATTTTTATGTGTGGTAAAAACTGATGCACATTATTATTCTTCCTGAAGTTCATTGTACGTAACAAACGCAGTATGTTTGAATTAATTACCGTCATGAAGTAGACTTGCATACCATGTATTGCATACCATGTATTGTCAACCTTTAATTGCGAAGAGGCAAAGGAGTATAAAATGAAGATCGGCTCCAGCCTCAAAACAAAATCAATTTCCTATACCCATGAGAAGATATTCCTTAGCGCATAATCAACTCAACATAAATAAACAACATTCAGTTGATGCCTGAAACAATGTATTAATCAAATAGGAGGATCGCCGAGGGCTTTACTCTTAATATTACAGTATCATTGGCGCCAATCTGCGCGTCAGGAGAGTTTTTTCACTGACGCGCCGATTTCGCCGATGTCAAGCCCGCGACGCCTTCAGTCTGCTTCAGTTCGAACAGAAATACAATAAAAAGGAGTAGATGAATCCCGAGTTGTAGCTACGATGGTAGACTGAGATAATGACTGAATCTTCCCTTCACAGTTATCGCTCTCTTATACACAGAGCTTTGCACATATATCGTGGTAATTACAGCTCGTTATTGAAGAAAGAACCGCCGTCGCAGGGAGGCTCGAGGGATGTTCCCTCTGGCCACTTTTTATCAGTACGCGCTGTTAGGTCGAGACCGAAAAAGGTGGCGGCGGCTCAATTCATTTCGGCGCCGATGACTTTTTCCTTGCAAAACCGAGGGTTGCCGGCGCCCGGAAAGTAGCGAAACCTGCAATTAAACGGCGACAGTGGCAACTTGGCGCCATGTCCCGACATGGCCATTTGTAGGCCGCAGAATTTAGCATTTCTCAAGTGTTTCGATACAACGTTGTTGCTGTTATTTTTCAACTTTATATGAATGGGTTATAATTATAGGCAAAACTTATTTATTCCAGAAACCGCATATCATCAAGATATAATAGAAGTTTGTTTCTACATCGCAAATGTTCTTTTTCTTTAAAAATATATTAACTTCGCCAATACTATTGCACCTGCCCTCACTACGATTGCACCTCCCCTAAATTTGCATTGGACGTCTTTCGACATTCTAACTTTTTTTCTAAAATAAAGTTCCATTTTGTTGAATTTTAATGTAATGTTTAATTCAGGGACCTCCTTATAGAGGGCCCTTGGTTATTAATCTTGCAGTGAAACCTTAAACGACAGGAAAATGTAGATATCAGGAATCGTTTGCTTGTAAAATATGCGGAAACTGTCTTCTGTTTTCTGAAATCTTGCTTTCCAGAATCGCAATTTGTTAAATACTTTATGATAAATTGGATTTAGCTGGTAACCAAGACAATGTAATTTTTTTTAATCTCGCACGAGCACCTTTCGATCACTATGCATCCAATATTTTTTCTTAGTTTCAGCTTCAACAGGAAGGTGAATTCGCTCAACATCTTGTTCGTCATGCTCTTTTTTCGTGAAATTTAACCGCAGAATTAAAGGGAAGAAACGAAACACCCTCCTCTCAAAAAAATGACAACAATGATATGTAATCGGATTTATCCGTTAACAGACAAAAATCAGGAGGTTACTTTTCATTCTAATCACTTAATAAATAACTTTTCTGTTAACTAAATCATTAGTCAATTTTCTCATCTATGTGTAGCATCTAATTTTTACGTTAGCTTTTCGTAACGCTTGAAAAAAAAATAAAATTCCCTTAATCATCTTGCTCCAGACTCAAATGCTAATTGTTGTTACGTAGAACAAACATTTATATGACAAACATTTTTCTCACATACACCTTCTAATGAACCTATAAACCACACTCTCATGCTCGTCTCTATCAAAAAGCTGAGCGCTAGCTGCTGCGACACTCTGAACTTTAGCGAAGACATCACACTTCATTAGCGAGCTTCTCTCATGGCAGTGCCACCTCAAGTTCTTAAACTCGCGCAGGTGCTGAGCCTCGCAAACTTATGTTCCACTCCAGTAACTTCTGCTGTCACTTGTGCAAGGTTTAATCGTCCCTGAAATCAAGCTAATTATACCGCTCTCGTCTAGTAAACAGCGTCGACAGCGGTGAATCGAGCGGAGAGTCGCCCAAGATTTACTGATATTCAAAATCTCCGCGAGAGGTGTTGTTCGTGTGGGCATTGCATGGGTTACTTCGGGTCAATTGGTTACGTGAAGAAGTCGAGCTTATTACATGAATATGTCTTCATCGCGTCTCGGCCTTACTTGTTTGCTAAAATATTGCTCTCGAAAAATTATTTCGTAGCTGTGGGAAAAAAATCATGAAGCATTTGAAACTTCTGGTGCGCAAAGAGACATAAATTATTGTCCAATGATTTTTTTGCATTTTTTGTTAGCCCAGTGAATTTGTCACTTGCATAATGCGTTAACTTTTATTGAGCTCAGAGACTGGAAATGAAGTCTATTAGAGAGCAGACACGACACAAGAAGCAAGCTGTCATGCCTTCCCATTGTATTCATCACATTCATATATATCGAGCAGCCTACGTCTAGCACAGTAAACCTTGTCAAGGTTTCAGTTCCTTGTTTATTTTTCATTTGACTTGACTGAAGACTTTCAAAGTTAAGAGGCAGTGTTTGCGGTGGCATATAATGCAGCATTCTGCATTTGTAAAGACGCTCTGCGACGCTAGAGAAACCCTCCTCCGGCCCATTGCGCCTCACGCAACGCTGCTTCTGCCGCCGTGCTCAGGGAGCTTTGAGCCGTAACAAGTAGTGAAGTAAGAGACGTGGCCGGCCTGAAGAAATGACGTGCAGCACAACACATACAGCGGAGAGACGAGGACGAACAACTCCGAGCAGCTACGCCGATGTTTTTGATATTCAACATCACGAAGAACATTGAAATTATGTAATATCTCGCATCAATTTCATTCAATTCTGTTATAAATCAGACTCATGAATAAAAAACAGTCGTCTCTATAGACCATCATTGATACTTGTATTCGCTTGAAACATCAAGATTCACCCGCGTCTCCATTACGGAAGAAGCACAATAATTTGCAAATCAATAAATAATTTATCGCAATTTTCCGTCGAGTGCTTAGAGCGAACAGTTCATGACAAATTTGGGATCGATATTAGATTCATCATGTACGTTTCTCGTAAGCCTGCACGCGTTAAAAAACCAAAGATCATGATTAATAATGAAACTTTTTCACTCATTTCTTATTCCAAGTAATCCATTGAGCTATAATGGTGCAGTCACTCCTGGAAACTGAATGCCTTCAATTTCTATGACGTAGAGAAAATGGACTTCCGCGTTCATTCTGCGACCAGAAAATAATTTACGAGTGTAGCCATGCATGCAAAAAAATCATATTTCAGAAATAGCATGAAGATGGAACCTGACATTTTAAGAAACTTAAATATAGAAGAACTAGAGGTTACCGATACTTAATGTTAGTCCAATTCTAATAGATAAGCTCTTGATTCCTCAAAAGATGAGTTAGTTTTGTTAAACAAGGTCGGTGCTAACGGAATCGAAATATTTCACATTTTCACATTAAAGGTAGTTTAAAACCTTGCACCAAGTAAACATTCTTTCTCTTCAAGCAAATATACATATGACCCGCTTTAAAGAATGAATCTGAATTATGAATAACCCAGCTTTGTTTTATTAACCAAATATTCATTTCTTTTTGAGGCGCGCCAAGATGCGTAAAAATCAAACACAACAGACGACTTCCGTCTTTCATTAGTAAATGAATATCTCATATTGAAGAACCTGCCATATATATAAAAATATTTTAAGGTACTTTATTAAGCATCAATTTGCTAATTATTTCTCAATTATATTGTTGATAGAATTTCAACCACTGCTACTCATAAACGAAAACTCATTTGAATAAACGCGTAAATGGACAGAAATGGACAATAGACACTTGGACAGCTCCAGCTACACTTCCTGAATTGCTCGAAATTACAGTGAAGGAAAATACTAGTTTAGCCGCGGGGAATGTATCAATTTGTTTTAAAATGTGTTAATATGTATCGACGGGCAAGGTTGCCCAGTGGTTTCCAGTTCAGAGTACTATAGGAATGGAGCAGTGAAGTGCGGGTTTAGACCGCTAAAAGCTGTAAATGCTCTGCGACGTTGAGAATCGGCGACAGGTCTACGGCCTAATGAACGCTGAAACGGCCATTATAATATCAAAATTACAATGACTGCTAGCAGGCCTTATTAATGTATTTTTATGATCTGTAGTGAGGTACATGCGATTAATGTTGATTTGATTGTTCGTTCTCTATGTGCTCAAAATATTTACGTGTTGCAAAACACGGCTGTTTTTAATACATTGTTTAATTGTATCGATGCAACTTGATTTTCAATTTATACACCGGAAGCGTACGACTGTTGGTGGAAGTGAAAAAAGCATATTCCACTAGGGGAGATTTCCATGCATCTAAAAAATGTTTGAAATGGTTCGGCCTTAATGAAAACTAATTTAAAAGATGTTTTAAAGAAGCGTCCATATATCTGCGCGCCAATGTTGAACGATTAAAATCAACCTTATAACAATATTTTCGATTAGACAGTTCGCCGCAATAACCTGAAAAAATCACTTGTAAGAAAATTATTCATTATCACAAATTTCTAATTATGATAATTATAAATTATGATTTTCACAAATTTCTAATTTATAATTTTTAATTTACAATTTAACCTTTATCTGTTGTAATTCAATTTTCAATTTCCAAAACTTTTCAACACCTTTTTTTTTTGTCCAATGCTCAGAGAGTGCATACAAAATCATTTTTTAGAGAAAATGTTTGAGAAAGTTTTACTTAATCGAAACATGTTCGCACAATGCATTATTACTTCGAATACAATTTATTCAATTAATTTAAACAATTTGGCAAATTCGTTGCAACGATGCAACAGTAACCATATTTTATTTTTTATTATCAGTGTTTCATAACGTTTGTATTCTGCTAGGTCGACACCAAAGCAAGGCCTCCCAGCGCGTTCTGCTTGTCAGTTTCACGCATCGTCCGACGTCGCAACTGCCGGCTGATTTATTCCAACCATTTAGAAGGCAAACTTCTCTTTAGGAAAGCACTCATCAAAATAAAAATGAAATAAATGGACACTTCAGTGTAGGTCTACTATACGTGGCACATGGAAAGTCTCGAGTGACTTGAGAAAGACCCTCCTGAGTCAACCGAAATACTATCATTATTATGGCTTTAGTTGCTGTAAAAAATTTTGCTCAGAAGTAGCTATACTTATTTTAAAATTTCATTCGTGTTTTAAAATGTTCTGTATTCTGCGGTAAGCAAATGACGATAGATTGTAGATTACGAGCTGAGAGTCTTCAAAAGAAGAACACTGTATTTAATGAGTGAATTGATAACCTAAGTGACACGATCGCACGTTTAGTTTTCAGTCTGTGACTAACAGAACAAGATTACAATATGAAGTTATCGGTCGAAGTCGATTGATAATGTAAAATCGAAATTTTTATGTAAGTTTAACCTTGCAAATAAACAAGCTTCGTTACCCAAAAAAATCTAATAATTAATGAATTTTTGAGCTCAGAAAAACAACGATTGATGATTTCCAATATTAGCCACAAGTTCATAATACTGCCCAGCTACGAATAATGAAATGTTCGTAACACAGCAAATAATTTATGCATCCCATAGCATCGTCTAAATCACACCGAGAATAACTTCATTACCTTCTGAAAAGTGTATTGAGAGTGACGCCTAATGCCAATCAGCCGTCATTAAATGGAGTCATTTGATGGTATGTTATTGCAGTCTTAAAGCAACACGACAGATTCGTTAACCAGACGATGTGCACAAGTCGAACGCCCTAACAGTGAGCATCGTCGACTCATGGCTGATCATTGATTCTTTTTCTTTGAACCTCACAAGAAGCCCCGGATGTTTCCGAGCCCTCGTGTCTAAAAAGGAAGTGTCAGAGACCAGGACACGTGAATACATTCTCGCGTAAACGGTGCCATGTGTGTTGGCTCAGTTCGCACACTTTGGTGTGGGTTGATTGTAACCTTTTAGCTCAGAAATGGCTTCAGCCTTCTTGCATTCGGTCAAACAGTATTGCTATACGTGGGGGATTTTTTATTATAAGCAGCGGTGAATGTACTCGTGTGCGTTGAAAGCTTGTTTTTCAAGTAATTATTTCAACGCAATTCGAATTTCATTCGCCTTGGTCGACGACATGCAAAGTTTTCCTGCCTGTGTAGGAAATAATGATAATTAATGGGTAAAAATAGTAGTGATAATCAAAAAATAACGATAAGGGGAAATTTAACTTAACAGTTTTTATCTCATTCTGGATATATAATGCATCTGGACTAAAAAACTATAAAATTTAATATTGATGGTTATTAAATGAGAATTAGTGTGACTAATATTTCTCACGCAACTTGCATAAAACGCATAATTCCTATTTTAGTGTATTGCCTACTATCATGAGTAATTATTCGAACTACTCAGTCACGAATCATATAACTTATACTTCCACTCGAAAATTTATCGGAACTGGATGATGAATATCTAAGCTGGGAATGATAATAGTTAAGCAATGGACATTTATGTGATTGATGCTTCGCACGTAACATGCGGAAAAATGTAAAAATCTTAATAGTTTAGCTTCCTACTTACTCTCATGAAGATTTGCTCTAAAAGCGAATTCACGATCTTCATAAATCAATTTAACTGTCATTGGAAAATTTACAGGAGCTGAACTGTCAAGACCTGGTTCAATCTAGGAATTTACAGTGTGGATATAACGGTTATGGTGTGGACTCCGTTGAGTTAATTGACGACTTCAGCTTTGCCAACACCATATGACAACACTCTGCATTCCTGCCGCAATAAAGGATACTTTGTAACATATTCGGGTGCTGGTTACTCTGTAAATATTTTTACTTATATGAGTTCATGTCATCAGAACGACACCTCTTTACATATTCGTGTACATGCCACCGGAATGGCAACTCTGTACATATGCACGAACATGCCATCGGAATGGCAACTCTGTACATATGCACGAACATGCCATCGGAATGGCAACTCTGTACATATGCGCGAACATGCCATCGGAATGGCAACTCTGTACATATGCGAGTACATGTCATCGGAATGGCAACTCTGTACATAGTCGCGTACATGTCATCAGAATGGCAACTCTGTATATATTCGTGTTCATGCCACAAGAATGGCAACTCTGTACATATTCGTGTTCATGGAACCGGAATGGCAACTCTGTATATATTCGTGTTCATCTCACCGGAATGGCAACTCTGTACATATTCGTGTTCATGTCACAAGAATGGCAACTCTGTACATATTCGTGTACATGTCACAAGAATGGCAACTCTGTACATATTCGTGTTCGCGTCACCGAAATGGCAACTCTGTATATATTCGTGTACATGTCACCGGAATGGCAACTCTGTACATATTCGTGTTCATGCCACCGGAATGGCAACTCTGTACATATTCGTGTTCATGCCATCGGAATGCTAACTCCGTACATTCACGGCTGACAACAGAACTAAATCAAAAATTTAAGGCCCAAATTTTTCAATATTCAACGTAGTGTTCAACTATGACTTTAGTTTAAAAAGTTTAAAGGCAAAATATTATAGGTAGTATTTTTCATCAGTAGTTTCATAAATTGATCAAATTAAATTTATATGCTCGTCCCATGATGATTTTGATAGTCTAAATATTAATAGAATTTGATAGCTTACGATGGGAATTAAATATAGTTGCTAGATGGTTGCTGAGACCTCTTGTAATGATGGCCGTACAAAAGTCCAGGCAAACCATTCAAATGAAAAAAAAAATCTAAGCCATAAAATTCATTCAAGTCTAAAAAGCGAAACTGTATGCTGTTCATTTCTAGCACGGGTCATTTAAAAAATTCAGCGTTTTCTGGCGAAGTAATTGATGGATTCGACATTGAAGCTCATACGTTTAGTCAGATCCAGGCGCGCCTGTGCAAAGGAGATAAATGCAAACAGGAACTCGAATAGATTTTTTATAAAATATGATGTGCGTGAAATATGAATGACTATGATAGTTTATTCTGATAAGTAAAGCCTTTGTAGATGACATCGTATGACATCATAACAATATCTGTACGGGACATATGAGTGAAACTTTCGATATTTTTTGGAGTAGCGTGTTTATAAGTCGTAATATCGAGCTCAAGATATACTAAGTTATCTTATAATTCATGCTGTTCACTGCCTAATGCACTAGTATGATTGACATCGAATAGCGCGCAAATATTTTTTCAATATCTTCAATATCTGATTTTAGTTAAAGTCGAAGATTTAATCGATTATAGAAAATATACATTTCGATATGACTCTAATAACACCTAATTTAATATTCATATTCATACGTCTATCACACAAAGAATATATAAAGTTTCGTCTTCCTACATCGATCGACTCGCTTCACACTGCATGGCTGGGTCCTTATGTCAAGTTTGGGACGCTTTCCTCAATGTTTACGCTGATACTCCGCCTTCGTCGTCAGCCGTCGATAGGCAGGTCACCCTGCCACCGAGTCTCCGGAGGTAAAGTTGAAATCGTCTACTCCTGCTCCTCGACCTCCTCCGCCTCGACAGGCTCGGGAGCCGAGGGCAGGGCATCGGTGTCGAGAACTCGGTAGCCGTTTCGGTCTGCCACGTACTTCACGTAATGCTCTTCACCGTCTGGGGACGTCCACTTGTACTCGCCCTCTACTGCAGATCCTGCCACGCCCTTGAGTAAAAAATGACAAGTTAGTTAGGTTCCTTCAGGAGGTCGAATTTTTATCCAAGGTTTCTGAGTCTGGATTAAGGCTTATGTAGATGAGTTTCAAAGGGGAATCATTATTTTAATCTCCAATTTCTAGACGAATATAGACTAGCTTTCAAAGAGATAAATATTAAATACTCTTTGTTATCAACGAATTTAACCAAATACCAATATCACCTCATTTGCATGAATTAGGTAAACATATGATATATTGGCGTCAATAAAAATTGTATAACAATTTAATTTTGCAACGTACTTCCTGCTCGTGTTCTCCTTGGTCAGACTCGAAGTCGAGGATGTCGTTGGGCCTAGCAGCGACGAAGGCGGCCAAGCTCACCAACAGAAGAAGAATCTGCGCGCGAAAAAAAGTAAAGTTTGTTCAAAGTACATGAATTATTACCTAGAATGCGCTATGAACAATTCGATTAGTGGTTATAGTCAAACTTCTTTTGAAATGAAACAGATCGACTCACTGAAAATTATTGTAGGAGAAAGTTTAAAACATGGTAATTCAGTGCTGTTTCTATCGTGTATTTCAATCCCAGGTTTTAGGTTAATCCTTCGAAACATTAATTAATTATTATTAATCAAATTTATTATTATTTATTAATCGAAGTATTAATTTAATAATCGTTTTAATAATTTTAATAAGCATATACACAAAAATCAATGAAATTTTAATCTTACTTGAAACTCTTGAACATTTTTATTGAGTAAAGTAATGTATCTTAAAGTAATTCATCCAACTCAATTCAGCTATCATAAACATTTTTGTGCATAGTTATTGTGAAAATGGGCCAGACCTGTTGAAAAGTTATAACTTGCAGTACAAGAAAATATCTGGCAATAATACGGTTTATGTAAATACATAGCTAACATCAAAATGACATAATCTCCTTGCGGAATTTACCTGGAACTTCATTTTGATATAGTTTTAGTAGGGTTTGTCTCGGGTGATGCAAGCTTCGAGGTTGCCGACACTGCAGTGATGATGGCCGTCGAGCCGCGGCTTAAATAAGGCCGGGACGCGATGTCCAGCTGTCCACTAGTCCTTGAACGCGGTCCCCGAACGTGGCTGTTAATACCTCCGACGTAAACACAAGGTCAAAAGGAATAATTTTTTCTGAATAAGTAGCGGCGGGGCGAACTAGGCAACAAGGTTCCGATCAACCTTAAAAAGGACATAAATATTTGTGATGCGGACCTGCCCATGCATTCCAATCTAGATGAGCTATGCAAACTGGTTTGCAACCAGAGGCCTTTGAAGAGATGAAAATAAAGTATTCACCTAATATGTGAAATCTCAATGTCGTTTTTTGTGGACGCTTTGGTTTTTCACTCTCGATACTAGAAAAGCAAGCAACCGGCTGCATATACCCGGCCTTGATTTAACTGCAGAAAACATGCAGTCACAAGGACGCATTCGGTACAAAAATTTATAGCTATAGAGAGGCATATCGATTTTCATATTAATGAGTGCTGATAATAATCAGCGCTTTTTATATATGAAGGCATACGTCAGTAAGAAAGTGCCGTAAAACCAATTATTCATTTATTCACAATAACTATTTAAAAATTGGGTAAAGAATCTTCATCACAAACTCACAAACACAAACTTGCTACTTTAAAAGATTTTGTTCAACTTAATAACCGAGGAAAAGTACTCAACGTTAATTATTTTTTTTCCGCATTTCCAATTTGTTGTCAAGAGCTAAAGTAACATTTTAGGAACTTTTTAGTTAACGAAGTAATGCTGAACCAAAAAAATATTGTCCTATTGTAACACAAGCCTGAGCGAAATAATTAGTTCAGTGACGTATATGGACTATAAGTAGAAAAATACACTTACTTGGGAAATTCTTAATAATCATAATCTTTCTAAAGGAAAATCTCAATAACATATTTTTGTTCCTACTTTCAGGATGAGCCCATAATTTATTTAGGGCATAGACTATAGAAGCGCCCTTCTCGAGCTTACAGCTGGAAAAGCCCTATTAATTCCACTTTTTTAGACCAAAACTGCTCTTCCATCACCAAAAAAGACATAAATATTTGCGATGCGGCAATGATTGACAATGCGTGCATCACAAATATTTATTATCAACATAAATATTCAATGGTCGACAATTCTTGCAAAATTGTTGTGGTTTACCACCCTAGCTTTCAGCTTCCTTGAAACTTGAGCTCGCTTAGAAAAGTTTCGATTAACTAATTTTTTTTTTTTGTATTAATCTATTAGTCAGGGGAACAATCTGCAGTCTGGTCTAGCGAGTTTTTGAAATAGGTTACTTACATGATTGTCAATGAAATTAGACATGAATTTTTGCATAAGAATCAAATGAATGCAGCGGATAGACACCAAAAACTTTTTTAAATATTACAATGCGAAATTCATGTTTTCAAATGATTTTCAAGACATTGGGAGAGAGCAGTCATTTTTCTGTACAGTGCACTAACGATGAATGTTTACATAAAAGTACCTTCGTTTTGTTCACGCTCGCGGTTTGATTGATATAATGCAGGGTTATTCATTCAATAATGTTCTAAAAAAACATTAATGTCCAAAAACACTACTGAATAAATTCATAAGCTGCATTCATGTACAGAGGAGATTCGTCTTACTATATTAGTTTAACGCCAAGCTAAACCTCCGAGACAGAAACGATCCCTGAAATTCATTCTCCGTCAGATAAAGAATTTCCATGTTATAACTACCATAGTAAACAATATTACTCGAGCGTATTGGGTTAAACCTGTTGGGAGCGATGAAAAAGTAAGCCAAATCAGCTCATATTTCCTTGCGTAAAAAATATTTTGTTAATTCGTTTACATTCAGCTTTATTTTTAAACACGTTTAATTGAATACCAGGCAATTTGTTTTATAGACAATTTTCTTTATATTTTATTTAATCGAGCAATATTTTTCGTTGGCTTTTAATTCGAAAATCTGATTTTTTTAATATGTTAAGAGAGATTTTTAGTATGTTAACAACGTTTCGAATATAACAACATTCATTTTGATGTTACAAGAAAGCTGTTCGTATTGCTTATGATTTCAGCGTCAGGCACGTTTCGGTAATCGCTTTTCAAAAATTTAATAAACTCATATAATTTATTTTATGCATGGATATTGCTTAATTGGCCTCACGCAGTCTTCCTCATAAATAATGTGGATATTTTTGGTGCTAATTAAGGGATTTTTTTTTTTTTTTTGCTTACTCATGCAACTGATATTTTGCACTCAGTTGAACGGGATTTTTAAGATCAAGTTCCTGTAAAATATATGCCTCTCTGTACATTTTATTTGTTTTTCAACTTATTGTTTATTTTCTTCTAATATAAAATTACAAAAGAATATTGTAGGATAATCGCACGATTAATTTAAAATTAGCTGTACGAAACATTAGCAGTGTGTTGATTGCTCATCTACTTAACAATACCCTTTTGTCTATTGCTTCCATCATCTTAATTACTGCCAGTTTAGTATTTCGAAGAAACTTCTCCGCTTCACAACCCTAAACATATGAAACAATGGAGCAAGTATTTAATCGAACAAGATACTAGTGTTCGCTTTTATTTTCCTAAACATTATTAGAATTTATGCTCGAATCTATGAAGTCATAATAAGATTTAGATTGAGAAAAGTTTAAAGTTCCAATTTGAAATTAAATTTTTAAATTTTAGTAAGGTCACATCCTGTTGAGCTCAATTTAGGGTCTGTTTTGAATATTGTTCCTAATTTTTTTCGAGTTAGACACTAACAACAAAAATTTACTATACATGGCTTTTGTAAAGATGTATTATTGACAGTTAACACTAATTCTTTCCACTTCAGTGATGACGACAGAAATATATTCTCTTTCCCCCAAACTAATATTATCAACACAGAATTATTGGCCTATTGCAGCACTCTAGAGTTTTAATTTTGGTTTTACTAATTCAGCATGTAGTTTTTGAGGTGTCCCCTTACAAAAAATTGAGAGATTGATATCTATCTTGATTCAGTGTTAGATAAGAACTTATGGTTATTTCACGTTGAGAATATTTTCTTTAGTGATTCGGACATGAATCACTGAAGATAATGAATCGACGTGTTTACACTCCTATAGTGAAACGGTAACTAAAAATATGAGAAAATGTTTTCGAGAAATATGAAGCCAAATTATGATTTCATCTCAAAATGGCGTGTGCTGCGTGAAAGAAAATGAATTTCAATTAGTAAAATAATAAAGGCCGAGAAGTATCTTGACCAAAACTCAACATCATCCATGACTCAAAACAATTCACGAGGACATAAGAACCGTGACTTCACAAATTTTAACATTTTAGTATCGGAATATAAATTGTACGAAATATTAAAAATATTAACTCTCATTTTAACTTTCTAAATAGTTAAATTTAAAATTACAAAACAAAATTTGAAACTGATTGTATTTAGTACAAAATTCACGAAAATATATCAAATTCTTAGCTCTCATCTTGCAAAAACAGCCTTCAGATTTGAAGTTAATGCTCAATAGAGGTCAAGCGTTTTTATTGGGATTTTAACAACATTGTTTCACTAATTAAATCACGTACATAACAAGCAGTCAAATTTACCGATTTTTAACATGTAAAAACAGAATGTCGCCCAGCGATCCCGTCATGTTCGAGGGTACGGAGCATACATTTCGAGTATTTCAGTCCTGCGTGTACGTGATAAAAAAACACTTGACCAAGGAAGCCTGCCGTTACAGTTACGAAATCCCTCAAGCCACGCCTCGGTAATCGCGTGCTGGGATCAGGCAAGGAAGGCTAACTTGCTTGCGATGTGGGATTAAAGGGACAGTGAACGACAACTGCAGGGGTCAGTTGACTCGTATTTCACACGAGTGTGAATGATCCAGTGACCTTTCATACAATGCCTCGAGGCGAGCGTTAATATTGCATGATTCCACGTCTCCTTAACGGTAAACTTAATAGTATGGAATACGCTGATGTAAGAAGGACGAGAGATCTACTTTTTACTCTATGTTGGGAGAAGACCACGTCTTACTTGTAATCATATAGGAATTGATAAATTTCTCCTACTTCGATTTGTGTTTGAAAAAATAATATAAAGTCTATCTAATTAAAAAATGCGGCATGAAATTGAATTATATTTTAGCCATTGCAATTTTTAAGTAAACCAAGTAAACACTGCAATGGAATTCTCACGCGTGTTTGGAATTGCTTTTTTCTTCGAATAAGCTGAACCTGAAGGACATGTTCCAGTTCTGTGTTGTTACAACTTATATTCCTGGAAGAGACGACGTCGTAATCTTATATATTTATCTATAATGGATAAATATACAATAAACATGATACAGCAGAATGAGGGTTTTCCATATGACATCCCCAAAAATTTTTGACATGAGAAGAATTATTGTTCTGTTCTGTTGTGAGAAAACTTCAACGATCCATTTAAGATGCAGATTAGTTTTCCCTATGCATTCCTAACACAAGAAAATGAAGAAGTTTTTACGAATTTACAATAAAGACGAATCATTTTTGCCCTGAACAAGTTATAATTTAGCTGAGTATTTATATCTTTTGTTGCCTTGCTTCTGTAAATTAAACAGACAGCTCTTAAAAAATTGCCTGGAAATGTTTCGGCAAAATGATAACGAACATTATTTTTATATAGGTTACAAATCTGTGCATAAATACAGAACGATGAATAGGCAGGGAAATTCATCACATATTTCAGTTTTTTATTCACTCATTTGTTCCCTATTTCGGTATCACAAAAGTCTCTAATAAATTTATTTCTTTCTGTATGACTTTTGAGTGAAATTGCGACATTTTTACATCGAAAAAATATTGTGACATTTTTACATTGGAAAAATATTGTGAAATTTTTACATTGTAAAAACCTTGTAAAAATATCGAGAAGTCTTCAAACATAATGACAGTTGAGGGGTTACATTGTAACGAAACGTATAGTGCAGACGCCTGATATTGCCATGAAGTTGAGTAACTTTGGTGAAAGACGATTTTAAAAATTTGATGTTCAACTAATTTGTTCTGTGAAAGCTCCTCATAATAACTGTCCTGCGTCAATTTCCGTGTTTTATGGCAAGTTTATTCCTAGAGTAGATTACAGTAACTTAAAGTAACTTTTTGTAGATTAAAGAAGTAGATCTTTTGTAGATAAAAAAAGTAGATTAAAGTAACTTTTTTAATTTTTCGTCAGCCCTGCGAGGCTTTCTGTACGGCTTTATGCACAACGTCGGACTCGACGACGCGGTATCCTAGATGATCGGCGACGTACTTAACGTAATATTCCGTGCCGTCTGGTGATACCCAACTGTACTCGCCCTCCACGGCCTTGCCTGCTGTGCCCTGTAACAATAACAATTAATAACCTCACGATGAATGAGATTCATCAATTAAAAACAATATTTATCTTACTTTATGAAAGACAAAATAATATTTTTTCAGTGCCCTGTAACAGTGACAACTATTAACCTCACGATGAATGAGATTCATCGATTAAAAACAATATTTATCTTATTTTATGATATATAAAATAATATTTTTCAGAAGAAATCGTTCCAAATTAATTCGGATTCCGACGCTGCAGATTTCTATCCCTTTCAAAGTTAAACGTGCAAAGACGCTTACGCATGTTACCAGGTTTTGAAATGGATTGCGTTAAGAATGGTTAATGTATTTGTTGAAGCCGAGATATTATGAAATAATATCTCAGTCGCAGTTTCTGAGAATTAAAAAGAAAATTAGGAATCAACTTACCAGTTATTTTCATCTTGGTTTTATCAAGCTCATTAAATTTATCGTGCTAGATTCAAAACATGTGTTTGAAATGTATTCACATTACGCTATTGAATGCGGGTAAAATATCATTTCAGAGTAAAATAGCTTGATGAACTATTGCAGGAACTATTTCTGAGAAACCACTACCTTCATCATTAAATAAAGATTAACGACTGACTCGTTCAATGAAAATTTTTACTTATATTAATATAAATAAAATTCTGAATTTTAAACGTAGGAAATATTGATAAATGGATTGGAATTTACAATTTCGAATCCACCCTCTGAGCACCCTTCAAAATGTTATCAGTGACCAAAATATAGAACAATACGATATTTTGCTATACGATATACGATAATATAACAAACTTATATACGATTTATTATTAGTCACGAAGCCTGTGAATATTGCAGCACTGCTACCTCTTGCTCGTGCTCTCCCTGCTTCGTCTCGTAGTCAATTATGTCCTTGGCAGGCGCGGCACTGACGAGCGTCAGCGCCAGCAGCAGCGTGCACTGCACAGCGGGAACCGACATACTCCAAATTAGTTAACTTAACGTTAATTAATAAGACGTATTTGTTAAATCCAATGCACAAAATTGCCCATAAAATATTAATTGACGATTAATTAGAATTTAAATCACAGTTATTTGAATCATGATTAATAATGAAGCATTTGTTAAAACTTTTTCATGATATTTCCCATACGCATAGATTTTATCACAAAGTTAATTATAATTTAAATCGAAGTTATATACTTCAACATTAATTATTTGAGCATTTGTTAAAACCATTTCATGAAGTTTGCCATAAACAAAAATCTGATCAGATAATTAATAATTGATATTCTTCATCCAACTTTTATCCACCAACGACATGAAACACGAACTCCGATTATCGCAAATTCTCGTTCGATTATTGAAAAGAAAGCCTATTTATCCCTTCCCATACGCTTTGGTTTACCCGGTAGAGCTTGTAGATACAATAATGTATTTGTCGAGAACAATAAAGAGAAGCAATATCTTTATAAAACGTCTAAAGCTCCTCATAAGCGACAATTATAAAAGAACGGTAGATAGTCTAGAGCAGGTTATTTATATGGATAAGTACTTATAAAAAATTGATTTCTGATGAACCAGGTGACCACGTTTCTGTTATGTAAGCAATCTTCAATAACTGACCGGCATAAATGACGTAATGTATCTACTATATATGAAGTAATATTAATAAATCGCGTTTATAAATTGAATCTTAGTCTGAAAAATACTAAATCTTTCTTGAAGGAATCATCCACACCGATTATTCTTGACGAAAACGAATAAAATATCTTTCAGAATGACTTCCAGCAAAATTGAATTGCAATGCTTTTAATACTTCTATTGAGATAAAAGTTATTTTTTTGTATCACTAACGTGATCAAAATAATAACACCACTTGAATTTGTATATGTTGAAGTGTTTTCATGTGTGGGATGAAATTTATGTGGAATTTATGCAAAAAAAAAATCTCATTTTCGTGTTTGTAACCTAAATAAAATCCCATGATGCATTAAAAATTATTCTTTTTCATTCGAATATTCTCAATTTAACTGCACCTAAAATCACTTTGCATTGTTACATCAGATTATAAGTGTATCTCCAAGCTTTTTGAGAATATTAATTCGATTGCACATTTTAAGTCTCTATCAGAACCTAGTTATAAATTAATTTCTTACCTTGAATTTCATCTTGCGAATATTTTCCCGACGATAACTAATGATATACTACCGAATGCGCTCTTGCTGAACCAGTGACTAAAATTAATAACGGACAATAGTTTCTCACCCCTGCAATGCCTGACAAGGCAGCAAATGCGCTCCGCAAAATGAAAGTCCCGCCTTTTATATACTAGATTTTCCTGGAAGCGGAACAGATCCGGTCCGTGGAGTAGAAAACTGAGGGAAATGTCAAGTTCGTGGACCTCCAAGCGAAGACATTTAGACATTGTACGGCCCAGCCTTGGTTATTGCCCTGTAGTAGACACGAACAATGACACGAAATAAACATTGTAATATGTTTTTGACCGCATCTAAATTACCCATTATTTGTTTCCAAGATCTACGAGCCTTAAAAAGGGCGCGCGTTTAACTACTTGATTAATAAATGCACTGAAGTCCGGCACCCGGAGAGTAACCGAACCAAAAAATTTTTAGGAACAGAACTGAGAAATGCAGATGAACGTTCAACTTACATGGATCAGCAGTTTGCAAAGTAGTATATAGTATGGTTTATATAGTTCATTTTTATTTCGTCACATTAGTTGTGAGTTAAAATTATGAATAAACTATTAAGTTGGAAGTCGATGAGCTTCGATTGTGTTGTGTAGATATTTTCTTGACCCACGATACAAAGTCACGTTTTCAATGTATTTGGCGAATGTTATTCGTACTTCCAGATAGTCAAATTATCCAGTATTAACAATTGGACAAACAATATGCAGCACATAAGCATAGAATTGTTGACCTTACACCCGCAGCTTGGTATATGCTATTTGTGTAGTTTGGTTGACGTTATAAGTATAAAATTTTGACGTTATAAAAAACAATGATTGTGTTTGCATGGTGCTGTATCAGATCGAATACAGGATACAATAGGTTTAATGAAAAATGAAAATGTTGCAAAAATATTTTATGTAACTTTCTTCACACCATTAACATTTTAAATTTTTAGAATATGTTTAATTTGTAATGACATATATTCAGTTTCATTCAAACCATGTCGCTCAATCGTAAAATATGAATTTAGAATGGCAGCTAAGATTTTCCCTACAACAACGAATTCTTATTAAGTACAATTTTCTCCTTCCAGCGGTGACTTGTTTTCATTATAATGTTCGTTCTAAGAAGCGCAATGTGGTCAGCAATAAATTAAGCGCACTACTTAACCAACCCGAGATTTTGAAATTTTCATATTTTTCGTCGTCTCACAAGTCTATATCTATTATCTATTGTTCTTCTTCTTCGGCTCCCTCTTCCTCTGCTGCGGCTTCCTCTTCAGCTGCCGCTTCGTCCTCAGCTGCGGCTTCCTCTTCAGCTGCTGCTTCTTCTTCTCCACCCTCTTCCTCTCCACCTTCTTCCTCTTCAGGAGCAGCAGCGGACTCTTCCTCAGCGACGACTTCAGCAGCGCGGAACTTGGGTTGGGCGTTGGACTCCAGCACGCGGTAGCCGAGATGGTCAGCCACGTACTCCACTTTGAACTCCTCGCCGTTGGGCGCCACCCAACTGTACTCACCCTTCACCGCCTTCCCAGCTTGACCCTGCAACACCAATTACATTCATAGTAAAATGAGTCAATAAAATAATGTGATGCTAAATTCCGTAAATGAATTCCTACCACGGTGAATTTTGTGGAAGGAATACCAATTACATTCATAGTAAAATGAGTCAGTAAAATAATGAGATGCAGAAATCCGTAAATAACTTCCCAGCTTGAACCTGTAACACAATCGCACCGTGAATTTGTCAGAATACCAATTACATTCATGGTAAAATGAGTCAATAAAATAATGGGATGCTGAAATCCGTAAATAACTTCTATAATAATGAATCTGTAACAGGAGGGTAGAAACACCCATTACATTTATAGGTAGAGGCGTTAGTAAGATAATGAGATACATGAATTCCTATGAATACTTCACTGAGCAGTCCGCTTTACCAAAAGTCAATATTGTACATGTAGAGAGTTTTCGAGTTAATCATTTTCTATTGAAATTGTTCTTTCAGTTATTGTTATTGTAGTGACATGAATGAGTGACAAGACTAGTCTTGTATCAATTAAAATTTTATCTGCGTTAATATCCCACTTTTTTATTGTGCAAGAGCGACAAGATAATTTGAATGAGTTTAGTCCGAATGGTGCTAGGTTTCCAAGAACTGCATCAACAATTATGTATTAGCCCACCATCTTCATCTAATCGTTATTTTCTTTATTAGTCGGCCAAAATTGCAAGTTCATCATGAATTTGGAAACAAAGAAAACGCCTAGCAAGTTTCCAAATTAACTTGGCAAAGCATTTTTTACATATTTAACTTCTGCANGCCCATAATTTATTTAGGGCATAGACTATAGAAGCGCCCTTCTCGAGCTTACAGCTGGAAAATCTCTATTAATTCCACTTTTTTTAGACCAAAACTGCTCTTCCATCACCAAAAAAGACATAAATATTTGTGATGTGACAATGGTCGACAATTCTTGCAAAATTGTTGTGGTTTACCACCCTAGCTTTCAGCTTCCTTGAAACTTTAGCGCGCTTAGAAAAGTTTCGATTAATTAATTATTTTTTTTACAACACTTCTCTTTAACTTCACTTCTTGTTTGTTTGTTTGTTTGTTTGCCACAAATCTTATAATCGATATTTAACACACTTCTACCTGTCCAAGCGATCTGAAAGTTTGCACACTTGTGTAAAGTTGGAGACAATGCATGAATCAAATGTCAAAATAAATGATTTTAAAAATTAAAAAAAAATTCGATATTAAAAAAATTGAAAAAATAATTTTGTCAGCTACAAATCTTATAACTTATATTTGACACACTTTTACCTGTCGAATTGATCTGAAATTTTGCACACTTGCGTGAAGTCAGAGGCAATGCATGAATCAATTAATAGAATAAATAAGTTTGAATAAAAAATTTATATATTAAAAAAATTGAAAAATTACTTTTTTTAATATTCGAAAATTAAATGAGAAATTCATTGTACATCTGTAAGATTGGAGACACTGGATTCTTTGGAAGTATTGTCTTTAAAAAGTAATTTTTAAACGTATATTATTCGGTATTAATCTATTAATCAGGGGAACAATCTGCAGTCTGGTCTAGCGAGGTTTTGAAATAGGTTACTCACATGATTGTCAATGAAATTAGACATGAATTTTGATATAAGAATCAAATGTATGCAGCGGATAGACATCGAAAACTTTTCTAAATATTACAATGCGAAATTCATATGTTTTCAGAACGATTTTCAAGACATTGGGGAAAGCAGTCATTTTTCGGTACACTGCACTAACGATGAATGTTTACATAAAAGTACCTTCGTTTTGTTCACGCTCGCGGTTTGATTGATATAATGCAGGGTTATTCATTCAATAATGTTCTAAAAAA